TGTCTGCAACCATCTAATGGGAGGGTGTAGAGAAGATGGAACCAGAGGTTTCTTGAATGTGCAGTGACAACAGCACAAGCTACAACCTTGGAAGTTGTGACTACATACAAAGAGGAAAAAATCCTCATGAGGATGGTCAGATACTTGAACAGGGACCCATACAGGTGGAGAATATCCACCCTCAGAGGTGTTCAAAGCGCTGAGCAGCCAAATCTAATCGGCCCTGCTTTGAGCAGCAGAGGCCTCCAAACGTCCTCTCCGATATGCGTTATTCTGTGATGCTGTGAAAAGAGAGCCCAGAAGCACCAAACACTCTTGGGTTTTTGCAAGGCAAGGTGAGATTGTCTGGGGACCCTCCCATGCATCAGGTTTCTGCACCTATGGTGGTATCATCCAGACAAAATGACCCAATCTGGGCTGCACGCATTGTCAGTCACGTTCTGTTTGCTCACGACAGCCAGCAAAACAACTGTAGACGTTTCGGTAGCTGACTGTGTGTCCCCTTTTCCAGAGCTCAGCGACATGCCTGCTGTCATGGCCTGACACGGGCAAGGAGAGGACATGGACCTGCCATCTTAATGACGACTGGAGAGCAGACCCTCCCCTGCTGCCCCTTCCTGCAGTGTGAACACCAACCTGCCAAGGAGGCCAGCTGGGGTCCGCCCCCAGCCGGTGAGGAGGAGCTGTTTGCCTCTGTGACTCTGCTGGAGATGGGAGCTTCCTCTCCTACAGTCTTTCTCACAATCCTGTGCCTGGCAGGGATCCCCGGGGTGTAGGGGAGCACAGATGGAGTTGCAGCCGTGAAGAAGCTGTGCACCGTGACATGCAGCAACCCCATGGGAGACACCATTTACCTCTGAGACCGTTGGCATCCCATAGGGCAAGCATCCCGTAATCCCTCCTGCTGTGTGTAAGCCCTCTGTTTCCACAGCTGTGTTTTACACATGCTGCAAACATCTGAGCACCCTTCAGTCCCCTTCTTCTCAGCTGTCCACTTTTCTCCTGCCAGATCAGCCTCCCTCCGTCCCTCCTCACAGGTCTCCTCCATCCCTGAGAGCACGCTAGCCCTACCATGATGGCCAAGTGCTTCTGGCTGGGTCACTAGAGTCCATATCTTTCTCTAACACAGGCAGGGGCAGCTTAGGTTTTCCTTTTCCCCACTCTTGCCCTGCCATAGACCCTAACAGGACAGTCTCTTCCTCTTGCCTTTGGGTGAAGGCATTATCTTCCCATAGGTACTGAAGAACTTTTTGGTGCCTTGGCCATGTAGCTACTGGGACTATCACCAGGAGCACACCACTTTTCTTCAGAAGGATTGAGCTGCATGTGAATCAGTCCCACCAAGTGACCTGTTTGCTTTTCCCTCAGGAAGGTCTGTATACCTGCGCCGCACCCTGGGCTTTATTCAGATGTTTAATTCTCCCAGTGGCTGCTGGCACACAGTGAGGAGGGGGTCTATGCCCTGCTCTGCAAGGGAGATGTGAGCATCTCCCAGGTTTAAGCCATAAATTTCTACTTGAACGGATAATAAGAACACATTTTTTGTAAATTGCAAGTGCTGTTTTAAATACATTTTAGCTCTCCTATCCTGTTTTTTTCTTATTTTGGCAAACTGGGAAAGGGGAAGAAACTAGTAGTTTTTACCTGAATCAGGCTATACACATTTTCTCATACATGAGCCTCATGCAGGTATTTTTGCTAAATAAAGCTACCACAAGTGAACTGTGACAAGGAAGCATTAGGTTTCAGAGTTAGTTGTGCTGAGAAGCACTCAAACCTTTCCAAATTGCAGTTTTGGAGTATTTTGGAGGCTAGAAATGCAAAAAGGCAGCACCTTCCTTTGGAAAAGGGCTAAAGAGTTGGTGGATTTGTGTAGAGCAGCTCCAGATCTATGAAGCATGGAGAGAGGATGCTTCTGATGGTGTTAAACCCCCTCCCCATGCCCCACATCCATAGTTGGGTCGTGATCTCTTGTGGGTGCCACTTGCAGGGAGGTATGTGAGCAGCAAAAATAGGAGATGGAGGGCGTGTGGGTTGAGCGGTGGTGTGCACTATGGGGTCCTCAGCCTGTCCCCTGGTGTGCAGGTGAGGGGCTTGGCGGTGGTACCCCAACCGCTGCTTTTGTTATGTATTAGGAAAAGCCACTTCAATGTGCCTTCATCTACGTATCGAGGTGCTGCTTGGCCATTATGCAGTGGTATCTCCCCGTACTCACCTTCCTCATCCTCAGCAGCCTTGTCCAGGCAGAGCCTGACCAATTAGACCTGTGGTCTCCTGCAACGCCTTACGGCTTGTCACATCTCAGCTACTATTTTTGTTGTTTCACAGCTAAGAGGGTCGGGCAATGCCATTAAGCACGTGGCTGGTAGTCTGACTCTCACACACAAACTTTTCACCCAGTACTTCCTACACCCAGTGATTCAGCTCAAAACTGGCCTTTGTGGAAGAACCGGCCCATGTCTTAGAGGATGAACAATGGAGACTCCCTGGGCTCCAGTGTCTTTTTACCCTAAAAGAAAAGATTTCACTTAATTTCCAGTCTGGGCACACTGATGATTTGCTCCCCAGTGCTGGATACTCTCATCAGGAGTCCCACTCTGCAAGGAGAAGTCTTGTCCCCAGTGAGGAGCTGGGATCCCTGAGCCCACCCTTCCCCATGGAGACACCACCACAACTGCACAGCGCAGAACAGCCTCCCACAAGCCACTTGATGCTTTTTAATTGGAGTATTTCACTTGGACGTATCTTTTTCATGTTACATCACTTGGTGTGAATACAAAGAGGCCAACAGACGCTAATACATATGACAGACAGGCACACGCACACAGAGTCCCGGCACCCCCCAAAACGGTGGGGTGCATGGGAGGCCAACAGAACTGTAAGTGGAGGGAGGAGGATGGTGGCAGGGGAAAGCTGGCCCAGGACAGTGCTGGAAAACATTGCTGTGCTGCATTGTCTACTGAGTGTGCTGTGGGAGGCAGGGATGGCGGCAGACTCACAAAAAGCATTCGTGGTGGTAAGGATGATGGGCACATGTCTAAGGACAGGTGGGATCCCTGGAACAGCTCATCATGGTAGATGGAGATGGGAGAGAAGCATCAGAGATGGATGATGAGAAGGCAGCTTGGCTCCCAATGTAGCCTTGGCTGATGTAACCATGCTCCCATCACCAGACTGCCTTGGGTAGGGGGATGATGGAGGACGGGGATCTCCTAACAGCCCTGTTTGGCTGGTGGATGTCTCTGTGCAGCATCTCATTCACTTTGGTGGAGCAACCGAGGTCCAAAGTCACTGCTGCATCCCAGTTGGATGTCACGGTCCTTGAGGTCTGGTAGGCAGTGCTGCTGACTCTGCCTGGCACGCCATGGTGTTGGAGGACTGAGCCCAGATGAGCTTGATGGAACAACACACGACACCCTATGATATGGACTTTTATGAAAGCAGCAAAACTCAGCCCAATGCACAGGACCAAGAGAGGTCTCCCTCTTCTGCTGAGATCCATTCAGTGTTGGTGATGCCAGCACCAGATCTTGGTGGATAGTTGTCACCCGTTGTGATACCCCACACCCAGGCACATGCTCCTTTGAAGCCTGGATTTTGGAAAAGCGCCTCAGGGTCCTTCCCCTGCACATCCCCAGACACAACACGGCTTCAGCCTTCTCTCTGCTGGCAGGCCCCATCTCTGCTCCAAAGCAGGCTGGTCCTCACCGCGTGGCATTGGGTGGAAGACAGGACAATCACCCAGAAGATTAGTACAGCCAACCAAAAATGGAGAAAATCCCACCAAAATCAAGGGCCTGCCCTCGCTGTGAGTGGTTCAGGTCCAGCTAGAGCTTGTAAAGAGCTGCTTTATACAGCAACAAACACAAAACCCCAGTAAAATCATTAGCTGTTTCCAACTCTGATGGCCAAGTCCATATTTGAACTATAGCTCAACACAGGTTTGGCCTCAGTCTTCCAAGCATGGGGACTTCAAACCCACTACCTCCATACTGAAGCTTGCAGTAAAGATCCTCCCAGCATAAATTTATCTGGGCACTGGGAGCAAAAGGAGATGTCTTCCAAAAACCGATCTTCCCTTCCAGCTGAGCCCGTAAGTTGGGAAAGATGTGCCTTACTCTGCTTCTGGCAATCATGGCTCTGGGGGAATCCCTGGGCAAGGGATTGTCCTGCAAGTTGCCCTCAGCCCCAAGTCAATGTCCAAATACCAGCATGAAATGCAGGGTTTTTTTTTTTTTCCTTTTTAATATTTTTAAAAATAAATAGAAGAAGAAACAAAAGTTTAAAATTTGTTCTTTAAATATTTCCAGCATTGCACAGACAGCACTTTAGTACTCTAGCCTGTTCGATCAGTAGTTTGTTTATTCTGATTCCTAGTTAAAATGTGCTCCTCCCAGCCTGTTTTTTCTTTCTATCCTTCTTAAGAACACAACGTATTCTTTTGTAATGTCAAAACCCAAGATCTGCAGTGTTCACTGGACATCTTTCCAGCATGGGTCAGGGCTCTGTTATTCCTCTTCAAACCTGAAATACACGTAACCTCACCAAAAAGCTATTAGCATCCTGATAGCTCTCTCTTACTTAAGAAAAAAACAAAACAAACCAAACCAAGCCACATGCACACACACACACACACACACACACAAATCCTCTTCCAAGAGACTTTGCGATGCCAACCATTGGGTTCAGGCAAACCTCCTGCCGGAGTGTCTTTGCTCAGTCACTGTCAGAGCAGTGGTGTCCCCTGGAAATCTTTGAGGTGTAAGATGGAGTCAGGGTGCAGGGTGGGGAAGGAGAACGGGAGGTCAGAGATAGTCGTCTTCGCTGGAAGGGGAGGTGGGATTTGAGCCCTCAAGGTCAGAGTCCAGTGAACTTCCTGATGGTGTTCGGCTCATCTTCCACATCTGGGAGGCAAAGGTTCTCCCCCAGCTGCACGGGTATCCCACAGGCCTCAGCTGGTGAATTAGTCCCATGGCCACTTGCCAGTGGCTTCTTGCAGTTCACTTGCTACCCTTTGCACTCCTCTGTTTGCTCATGGCTGTTAGCATCTGGCTGATGTACGAGGTCAAAAGATCATCCATCTTGTACCCCTGAGAAGGAAAGAGATGTCACGTACCTTTAGAGCAAAGTTTACAGCCTCTGGCTCATGCCTCCTGAACACACTGGTTACAAATTGTCGACTTTCAAGTTTTCAGGTACATTTTGACATGTTCCACCATTTTTCTTGGGTGAAATGACACCACCACAAGAAACACAGTCTAAAAATAATTTGCAGTGTTGAGATGAGGGAACTCACCATCCCAGGATGCTGAGGCTAGGGACATAGGAAGCTTTGGATGGGACCTGGATTTTCAAATGGCCAACAGAGTACTGAATGCCTCAGATTAATAACAATTAATGCAGAAGGATTTTTTTTATCCTTCATGCTTTGGGTTTAAGATAGTCTAGGAGAAGGTTTGTTGCTGTGACTGTTACTAGGGACAAGCTGGGCAAAGGGCCTTGGAAAAAGGGCTCAAGAGTACCCCTGAGCCCACATCAGCTTTAATGTGCTTTTCAGTCCAGTGACAAGGAGCAGTGCCCCATGCTTCTGAGATGGCAACATCCCAAGCACCTCAGGCTTGCTTGTAAGTTGGGTGGTGGACCAAGTGAGACCCCTGCTCCATTGAGCAGAGCAATACGATACCCAGAAGAAAAAAAAACCACATCGAGGGCTCTTCTAAGAGACCACTTTCAGCCCAGATAATTCCTGAGATGTAATTTACTGGAAGCATTTAATTTTGCCTGCCAAAGTCAGGATTTGGTCTAACTGTGCCCAATAATCTTTAATGTTCCTTACCAGGGAGGTCTCGCAGAGCAGCTTGCTTCCTCTCACCAGGTTGCCAATGGTTATATGGAAGTATGTGTTGCCACTGCTCCAGTTGGAGATCTTGGTGAAGGGGTGAGTGATGAGAATATCCTGGTGGGAACACAAGACTGACACTCAACATGCAAGAGCCTCAACTTTCATGGAGGGCTGCAGGGAGATCTCAAGTCCTCGTTCACTTTCCATCAAAGCAGACCAAGGATGTGCACTGCGATGAGACTGTACTATGGCCTCATGGGAATGTCAGTGAGATGCAAGACTCTGGATGCTCCAGTGCTTGCAAGGACTGCCATGCTAGAATGACCATGTGGCTGGTGAAAGTAATTAGTAGGAGCTTATTTACTCCAGCTCCTGTCCTAATGTTTGTGAAAGGATTAAGGAAGGCTCCAGTTACAGGGCTCTAACAGGTGATGCTCCCAATCCACCTCCTGTTGGAAAAGGCTGGGCTGGCTCTGTGTAACAGTGAATTTCTGCCTCCAGAAACTTTTCTGGCTATGCAGCCTTTCGAACTAGGCTTAATAAGAACTCCTCTGAACAACACACTCTTTTGTATTACCTCTGTGAGGCATTGGGAAGTGGGCTCAGGAGCATCTGGTGAAGACCTCAGTTTTTCTTACCTTGGTTTTGGGATCAATGAGGCTGACTCCGTGCTTATTGATGGCAATTAGAAGGATTTCTGGATAATTTGGCTCTGTGGTTTGCTGTTGGAAATGGAATGAACTGGTTAGGGGATGTGTCATGTAAAATCAGACCCCTTCCTATTTATTCTCTCCCTGTCTTCTCCTGCCGGCATTTGGTGGCCCATTAACTGCTATCCAGTTTATCCTTTAAAGATAAACATAGAGCTCATTAAGGTATCAGCAATAGTCAGGTCTGTCCAGTTAAGTACAGATCTCTTAAATGCACGATAACCAGCATTAAGTTCCTTGCTCCCTTTGGTGGCCTCCCAAAAATGAAGCCATCTTGCCATTGGCAAGAAAGAGCTGGGACAGGCTGGCAAACCCCAGACATCTCCTCTACCCTTCCAGTCTCTGTTTGGTATTCTGCTCCTCCTTATGCCTGCTGTTGTGAACTGCTCTATCCGCTTCTGATCTTTACATTCAGTTCTGTTCCTGCTGGTAAACCCTTCTCCCAGCCATGTGCCATGAGGACCTGCAATTTGTTCAATTGATAAGATACAGCACAGGGAATGGGGGCTCAGCTCCTGGCCCTTCCACAGATTTCTTGGCTACTAAGTCACTTTTGGTGGAAAAATCATACGATATATTCAGATCCTTTATACCACCTAAGATGGCCATAACAGACAATGGAGTGCCCAAGTTCAAGGAACTGATGAGTAACCTCAGCAACTTGTTTCCAGCCCAGGCTCACTGCGTGGTTATTGAGAAGAGGGGGTTCCAATAACGTGTCCAGAGTACTTGGACAGACTTCATGATTACTGGCCTCTACTGTCTTTGATGGAAGTCTGGGTTTGGTTTGCAGTGGGTGCAGACACGTCCCTTGGAAAACCATATGTTCCCCTTGGCCTCAGCAAAACAGAGAATGGCTCTTGGCTCTTCAGCAGCACAGCTACGAGTATAGACCCAAAGCTCTACAATGCCTCTGTCTGTGCAAAGAGGCAGGGCAGAAATAAATGAGTGTATCAGTCCTTTACTGATGGAGAGTCTCATGCTATTTCTCTGCTTCATCAGGGTCATCTCAGTCTGGTCCAGACACTGGGACAACCCTGCATACCTGGAAGCCCTATGTGATACAGGGCTTCTGACCTTGGCTAAAAGCTGCCAGAGAACTCCCAAACAGGGCAGGTACCTTCACTTCAAAGAATGCTGATCCAAACGTAGGCCACTTGAAGATAATCTTTAGGAAGGCAAGCTTGGCTTCTTCTCTTGTTTTGCCCGCGTGCTTATTGTAGTATGCCACGATGGACTGAAACAGAGAACACAACAGAGCTGGAGGGTTTGTACTACCTAGCACCAGGGATATTTGCAGGGAAGGAGCATCAATCCCACAAAGATGGTTGGCTCTAGTCTCTGCTCCAATGAACAGTTCACAAAAGTGCTCACTGGTCACTGGAGCAGGGCTTGGAACCAAGGCAGGTCCTTCTATCTTAGATGAGCTGTGCTGGTGACTCCATTAAAGGGATTATAAGTTTTGATCCTCCAATTGATGCAGCAGAGGAGACTGAGAGACCTTCAACCCAGAGAAGCTGATAGCTCGCTGGTTAGTCACATGTTCAAGTCCCAGGAAACAGAAAGGGCTTATAAGGCTATTTCTTGGCAGTGAGACACCTATGTTATTTTATGGCTCTGGATCTGTCTGTACCTGGTGCCACAGCTCTCCCTGTGTAAAGCAGGGAGAATTACCCCTCTGCTCAGTAGTCTGCCTTAAACAACAGACTTTTACATGAGACTGTCTCCCAGCATGTGTCCGTATGGCGTTGCATCCACCACTACAGCCACAGCCACATGCAGCACAAAGAAAACCCACTGTAAGGCAAGCACGCCTTCACACATGTACAGTTCCTCCTCTTGGTGATGTTGGGGAGGCTACAGCTCTGTTAAGGCTCAAGAGGGACCATAGGTCACTCAGTCTGGCAGCCCCACTTCAACGCTGAACGGCAGACAAATCACCTGAGAGACTGGGCTTCCCCCAGCCTGGCATATGACTCAAGCTGCTGTTTTACCCTTTTCCAGTCATCTGGAGAGAGCTGCCGGACAAGGTCCTGAGGCACCAGCTCCTTCAGGAGCTTGGGGATGCTGGGGAAATAGGACTTGTCATCCTCAAACTTCACCCGGTAGATGAGAGCCGCCAGCTGCAGGACCTCTTCCCGTGTGCACTTGTGGTAGCCGCGCAGGTACTTTGGTAACTCCTGCACGGAGGAAAGAATGATTCAGGTACAGAGGGGATGACCATGGACCTTCACCCTCAGATGTTAAATGGAGTTTGTGGAGGTATACAGCCCCTGGTTAAGAGGCTGTGCCCTGGGAACACTCATAGCAGTCGTGTTGAGTGTGGTGTAGAGGCAGCTGCTCAGCTGAGACCACACTAGATGTTTAAAGACTCTTTGCTCTAAACCAGACTCCTGTTATTTGGAACAGGGAGGTCCTGATGTTAGCTGCCCGGTGTGTGAACCTACAGTCTTGCTCACACTCCCTCATCTCAGGAAATCCACCCCTAATACTGGCCGCTTGGAATTGAATGGGTTTTCTGCTTTTTTTTTTTTTTTTCAATTTTAAAAATCTATTTCCTCATTACCAAAAGTGTCTGAAAATATGTCAGGTGACTAACTCAAGCATTAAGGGATACAGTCATATTTGGATAACCACTTTACCCAGGAAGAACAAAGGGAGTGTATGTGTGTGTGAGAGCATTTTGGGACACGAAGGCATCTTTTCCACCCCAGAAGAAACAAGAGCAGAAGAACTGTAACTGCTGGGACCATCACAGCTCATCTCTATGAATGGAGGTGGCTGAAAACCCTCAGGATGCTTCTGAATTCAGCCTCCTTGCTGAGGCTGCCAGCAGGACACGATCTCTCCTGTTTCTGGCTACCTAACCAAGAGCAGCTGGCCCAAATTCCAGCTGAGCTGGTTACCCCAAAGTATATGAAGTCTGCTCCTTGCCATGCAACTCAACATTGCTCTTTGTAGTGCTCTAAGGCAAGAGTTCTTCCTATTTAATGCAAGACTTCATCCATCTACGGTCTTTGTAACTCATTCCTAACTCCTCCCAAGTCTCCACTGCTATTGCAGGCTCCCGGAGTACCTGGTAATAGTGGAAGATTGAGTCTGCCATTGAGTCCTTTCCAGGTGTTGTGTTGGTCCACAGCTTTTTCATGAAGAACACTTGGTAGGTGAGGGAAGGCACTATACCTGTGTAGGGGAAGCAGGGAGCAGGTATGTAAGAGCAATGCTGTGAGTGCCAGCTAGCAACTGGTGTCCCTGCAAGCAAGCCAGTGGTGCCCACAACCTGCAGAGACAGGGGCACTTGCAAGGCCAAACGGGCTCTGACTTTGCAGAGAAAACCGTATCTTTCCCTTGCAAAGCTTTAATAAAATGGAAAGAGTTCCTGGATTCATTTGCATGACTGTACTTCAATGACAGTACTCATGCCTAATGCAGGACAGAGGAATTGCACCGTGGAGGCACCTGTATCTGGCAGCCACTGGTATATTCAGCAGAGCTGCAGCCAGCTCCACTGCAGATGTGGGAAGTGAGGTGAGATGAATCCCACCACTGAAACCTTCCCACGGGCAGGCCCTGGAGAGCTGCCTGCCAGCAGGTGCTCCTCGTAGGGTCAGGTCTAGCCCTGGCACAGAGATCTTGCTGCTCCTGGGAAGATCATCTCCCAGGTAATGTCCCCAGGGCTGGTGCAGACAGCACACACACAGTAGTGTGGCCCAACAGACACGTCAGACTCTGCAGTCAATCTTGTTCGAAAGGGGTGGAGGGCTCTGGAGGGCTCTGAGTGACCCACGATGGAGAAAAGTCACTGTTACCATCTTTTGCCGGTCTTGCTTTCTTTATCCAGTCCGTCAGGTGTCTTACAAAGTCAAAGAAGAAATCTCCCTCGGGCACACTGATGACCTGGGGGAGACAGCACAGGGTTACACAGGCTGAGCAAGTGGCAAGAGGCCACAGGCAGGACTGGCCATTGCCCCATCTCCTGTAGTTGTTGCTCACTGCTTTGTCCCGGTTGCACTGATGTGTTACAGACTGCTGACGGGAGAAAGGCCATTGCCAGCACCTTGCTGCAGGGTCTGTCTCTAATTTCATCTATTACTCCTTATTGCAGCTTCCTGTTTCACTAGAGCAATTAATTTCCCGTCATTATGACTATCTCCATAGATTTCTCACAGTTGCCTGAGGCAGCTCTAAGCTGCGCGTTTTTCTTACTTAGTCCTTTCTAGCTTTGCCCGCCTGTGTTTTAAGCCCTTTGCTGTAACTGAGGGCTGTGGGACTGCAAATCTCACCTGTAGCAGGTTGGATCTTAGAAGCACCACGCTGCTGGCAGAGAAATGCATCTCACTTGCAAGGGTGCAAATAGCTCTGGCTCCACCAATGTGTACCCACTGGCTGGTGCATCACCCCGAGTACCTCAGGGCTCCCCCAGCCTCTAGGGGGGTCACTCACCTTGTCTGAGATTTTCACGAAGAGGCTGAAGCCCTCAGAGGACTTTAGGAGCAGCCTGTTGGAGATATTCTGACAGAAGTCCTTGGCTTTTGTGCTGGACTCCACCTCAAATGCCTACAAAGAAAGGAAGATCTTCACCACTGCTACCTTGGGGTTTATTATAGAATCATAGAATCATTAAGGTTGGAAAAGACCTCTAAGATCATCAGGTCTAACCATCAAATTTCCACTTTATGCTCTCTGAAGAACTCTAGGCTCAGATGCACAGAGGGATTTAGGTGTCCACCACCAATGCAATCAGTGACATTGTGGATTGTGGCTCTGGGCATGGGAAGGGATGTTTGCAGAATCTCAGCCGTGCTACTGCTATACTGCTGTGTGTAGTGTTCTATCTATATCCTGTGCTGGCTTATCCAGGGCTCCTCGGGCAATGCAATAGATTTTTCTGATCTAAGTTAGGTGTCAGAGCTGTTTGTCTAGGGTGGGTAGAGAGAGAGAGTGTGATACCTCCAGGCTGTTTGTCCCGACTGTCTCTCCACTGATGATGATGAGGTCAGATGCCTGGCTTAGACCAAATGCCTGACTTCTTGATAGCTGGAGAGAGGGCAGATGACTCCTGATTTATGTGTGGATGGGATATCTAAAGGACTGTCCCACCTGCATACAGGTCCCAGTCCCAATTTTGCCTTTTGAGCTGTGCTCAGCATTTACATCGCCTCAGTTTTGCTCTGCCCGCTTAAAGAGATTCAGTTTGTAGCAATTTAAGGAATTCAAGCTTCTGACCACCACATGCATGGCTGTGTTAGCCTGGACCACCAAACCACCAGGACCCATGTTCCACATCCTGCAAGAGACCTGCCTGGAGCTCAGTGCTGCTGGTGTTCAGCAGCTCTTCAGTGCAGGTGCATGTTGTACTGGAATGATGCTACTCTGCCAGCCCACCTGGGAGACTGCCATGGCCGAAAGGATCACAGCAAACCCATCCAAGTGCAGAAGTCCCGCACTATCTGCTTATACTGGCTCTCACACAGATGCAGGTGTTTAAAGGAGTGTCATGCTTATTGCTGGTCATGTAGAAAGAAATACTGGAATTGATGAGAAATCCCAGTAGTTCTCTGAACTCTCCATTGCAGATAAACAAGGGCACACACAGGTGCTGGAGAGGAATCATCCTTTTCCTTCCATGGGTGTGCACTGCTTTACACATAAACCCACTTGGAAATACAGGAATTTATTTGTGCCCAAGGGCATGAGGGGAGAGAGAGATGCGAGCCTCACAGGAAGACTTATCAGCAGCATGAGACAGCAGTATCTGCAAGGGCACGCATATCTGCTCGGGCATCAGTATAACTAGCTGCCTTATTAGTGTGTAAAGTGCTTAATGAGAGGTTCCTGAGTGCATGTATCACGATTTCTGTGTCATATCAGGTCTGAAGGAATAATTTCAGTTGCTTACTGGCCAATGCTGCCAGAGCCAGCTCCCTGCCCAGTCCCTAGGGAGACCCATCATGGTACCCTGCTGGGTACAGCTGGGCAGACAGTATCTGTTGGTATAGGATGCAAATAACTGACAGTCAAGGCTTGTCCTGAGAGAATGGATGGATATGAACCCACCCGAGTTCCCTCTTGTTGGAGTTATACTATAAAGCATCCAGTAAATGCCAGCGAATAACTCACATCTTGAAAAAGGGGAATTGCAGTAAATCAAACCCCTGAGCTGGTCAGGATAGATAAGGATGGGTCCAAAGTCTTCTGGAAAGGCTGAGTTTTTCTGAATCAGAACTAATATTAGCCTCTTCTGAGATTTTAATAAGAAAATTGACACCCGTCCTGACAGAAGAGAAGAATTTCCTTCTTCCCTGTTTACCTCATCAGTGTCATCAGGGAAATAAACCTTGTGGAAAATTTGGGTGGTTTTGTGTTGAATGGCTTCCACTTCTACCAGATGGGGCGGGTACTTCCTGGATCCATTCCTGCAAAACGGGAGATAGCAAATGCCACAGCATCAAAACAAGAATCCTTTGTTTAAATCTTCCATTTTAATACATAAAATACTTTGAGTAAATTCAACTACTTTCTTAATATTAAAGTTTTTCCCTCCTAAAAGAAGAAGAAAGAAAAAATGTAATGGGGAATGTGTATTTGCTTAGATTGTAGGCGACTTAAAGTGGATCTGGACAAAGTCAACTTAATTCATCTCTGTTTTTGCACACACAGTATATCAGCGATATCCTTCACCCAGTGCCCCTTTTTTTCAACTTGGTTGAACACAGAGAGAGGCTGTGAGATTTCAGTGTCCCCCCAGCCACCAAAATAACTCCTACTCATATTTTCTCATGCTTATTTGGATACTGTGGCACAGTCAGGACTAGGAGGTATTTTGGTGCCATACCTCAGGGCTTTCTGGAGTCTCTGGATGCAATCTGCTGCCAAGGGGTGATGTTTCCGGGACTGTAGGAACCTCTGGACATGGGGCAGGAGGATGTTACTTGGAGGGAAAAGGCCTGTACACAACCACAACAGCTCCCAACCTTTCTCTTCACTGTACCTACACAAGGAGAGACCCAGGAGGAAAAAACCCACTCACAGCACGGACACTTCAGATCTGCTTTGCCCAACACAGGTCAGTGCATTTGGGCCAAGAGGAATGAACAACTCTTACTTGATGTGGTTGTCTGTGAGCTGCTTGAGGGTCTGGCAGTAGATTTCATCCTTCAGGGGTTCAGCTTTCAAGGCACCTTCAAATATTTGGTCTGTCAGCTCATTAACTGAGCGTGTCCTTTTGGATGGGTAGTCACCCATATATTTCAGCACTGGTGGGAGGTGGGAGTGAAGGATCAGCTAACCAGGATGTTTGGGAAAGCCTTTCTGTTGATGATGTGATTAAAGACATCCTACACATTACTACAGAAGTGGCTGCAATTTGGTGGAGGGGGCACAGTGTATGGTAAAGGCTTTAAATTGCTTTAGGAGGTCTCCTAAGCATTATCATACATCATCTCAGGTAGAAAGAATTGTTTTGGGGTCAGGATATGTAGACCTAAGAAAGCTGCGTATGAACCTGTGTTACCTGATCACGCATACAGGTACCACTGTAAAAGACCAAATTTTCACCTAATGTCAGACACCAGTGGAGCTGCAGTAATATAAACCAAACGGCAACCTTCAACATTGTGTGCCCTGTTACAACTATTTTGCGTGAGAACAGGCCACAGTTTGCTGACTGAACATCTATGACACAGCAAGAGGAAAAGGATAAAATTGCAAATGTTCTCTTTTTTTTTTTTTTTCCCCCTCCATTTCTTTTAATTCCTCCTCCTGTTGTTATTCGCTAGTAAGAGGAAACCAGTGGTAGCAGCAATAGTGTAATATTAATCAGTAACAGGCTTACACCAACAGAACTGTTCAAACCATGAAGTTTGGATCCTAGAGCAAAGCCCCACTAAAAATTAAAGGGTACTTCAACAGACTAGATCTACGTTTGCACTCAACTCATCTCTTCCATGCTGTGTACATTCTGACAAGCAAGGGGTGTTCAGGCACCAGCCCTGTCCCTGAGGCCATGTGGGCTGATTTGCATCCACAGTGATTAAAGCTACAGCCTTCCACAGCAGATGCATTTTGGAGAGACACAGCTGAAGCAAACCAGAACAGAGCCCTCGAGTTAACCGCTAGGCAGTGTAGACCAGCAGGACTCAAGAACTTGTTCTGTGGCCCTCACTTATTAAGAAGTAGACACCCCTCAGATCTCAAGGGTGCTTGAGTACAGATTTTGGGATCAGACCCATTTCTGAGCCTGTGATATGGTCCCAAAGCCCTTAAGAGGGACCACAAACTTTTCCACGAGCTTTGCTTGGGGCCCTACAGAGCCTGCTCAGCCCTTTGCCTACCAGACCAGTTGCCCAAGGGCCCCCCCAGACAGTGGAAGGATATCAATGAAGGCCATGCAAGCTTCTTGGGACAGCTCCTCGCTACCCAGGATCTTCTTCAGCAACGGCTGTTTGATGGGCTCACGGGTATAACACCACAGTTTGTCCTTCCCGCGGCTCTTGGTGATCATGACCCTGCTGAGGGTGTGCTTAGGGGGTGGCCTAGTGGCAAAGATAAGGCAAGAGGAAAGGTGCAGAGGTTATAGGCATGAAAGGGACAGCTTGTGGCCAATGTTTCACTTGGGAAGGTTGCTCACAGCACCTGGCTAAGGAACTCTTACACCAAATGGGATTACCAAAAGTATCCAGCTCTAGTTCTACCCCAAGACAACCCTTTGTACTTTCCTAGGGCTCAGAAAAGTCTCTTAAGGACCCTGCCCAAGTACTGACACCAAAACAACCTTCCCTAACCCAGAAAGCTTCTAACCACAAGGGGAAGGATGATGGCAATGGATGGTGAAAGAATATTGCCTAGCAGAACAGGCCTACCAGGTTGAAGACATCCCAGAGGATCTGGCTGGCCTATCTGAACAGGAGTGAGAGTTTTCGGATCAGTCTGGTCAGCTGCATTCAACAGTGGTGCATGTTTGAATCTTCAGCACCGAGATGAAAATGCCTGCACCTAATTCAACTGCTGCCTATATGGTCTGAGGCTGTGTATGGGCTCATAGGAAAGGAATATCAGACCACTAAGCACTGCCTCCCCCATAATACTAAATTTCACAGTTACACCTGTGCTGAGCCAGTCTGAAGAAACCCTTCATAAAACCTTGCCTGTGGAAAATCTACAGCTCAAATGCCGTGACCTTAACTGGAGGTTGCAGTTGTACAAAGACATACAAGGAGATATTCAGAGTCTTCTCCAGTAGCCAAAAATTTCCTGATTCCCAAGCTGCCTGGAGATGAATTCCTATTCCTATAACTTTTGAGGATGGTTTTAAAAAATCACCTAAAATAATCATAGGAAAATTCCTCCAAGGTGTAGGGCTTTACTCTCTCTTCACTGTCTGAAATTGCCAGCTGGGAGGTTCTGATAACATCTTGTCGTTGGTCAGGGGTCATCGTGACCAGTGCCTGTGGGATGAAAAGGTCTCTGTCACCCAGTATATTTGGCATCATAACTTTCTGATGTATTCAGAGAGAGGAAGCAGATACAAAATGAAAAGACCAGTGGGTGAATAATGATAACCCACTAATTCCAGTTAATAGTCAGTGAGAACTGTGCAATTGTCATTTCTCTGTGCCATTCTCAGTCATTAATACAAAGAATAACAGATGTTTCCATAGCATGGAATGAAGATAAGGTGCTTTGGATCCTGCAGCTCTGTATGTGAATGCAGGGGTTCCCTCCAACCCCAAATGCACTTTCAGGTAGTCTGGCCAGCTGGAGGGATTTAGCATGATTCATGGATATTCCAAGTCACAAGCTTGTGATGTTCAAAGTGACAAGAATGGAAGAAAGGCTGAGATCACTTCTGCCTTGGACAACTTGTCACCTCTCTCAGCCACTTTGGTTTCCACCTTATCATCAGGGAGAGACTGGCCGGCTTTGACCTCCTTGGGCTTTGTATTAAATTGTGCCATTCTGTAAGACAGCTTACCACGATCTCTAGTGGAGGCATGGTGACTGTAGGCAAGACATAGACGGAATCAGTTGGGAAATCCCCTCTCTGCTTGGTCCGTTCATTGAACCCGTTAGCCCACCCTGAGTTCATCACATGTTCTCCTGTGTCCTGGTCCAGAACTATGAGATCTCCTTTCAGGAAGCTGAGGAATCCAGATTCTTCTCCCACTGCAAGGAAAACAACCATTAGTTTGATTTTTTTTTCTTCCAAATCTCTTGGGAGTAATTAATCTATATATATGTTTACCGCTGGGCTGGGCCATTTACTTACCAGGGTTTGGGTTGTCTTGGAGAGTGACCACATACTTGGATCTTTTCCTTAGTCCTTCAAGGAAGGTCACCACCAGGTCCCGGATATCCTCTGCATTGTTGGAGGTGAAAGTGTATTCATCGCCTTTAATGGTGGCCAAGGTGAAACTCTGCCCTTGCAGCTTTCCCCCTCTGGGATACATTTTTGAAGGAGACATAAACAAGAAACATAATGGCATCAAGAGGCAAAGCCTAGAAGAAGACTGGTTTATGGTGAGATTACCGGCTAAGTCTGTTCCTCCTTACCTGCTGCTTGACACAGCTGTGATCTCTGGAAAAGAGAGCTCTAAGAGAACCTGCTCCTGTTCATCCACAAAGTACACCCCTGTCCAGTTGACAGCTACAATCACATCATTTTTAGGCAGGCTTGGCCCTAGAGTGAAGACAAAACACACATTCAGTTCATGAAGGGTCTTAGGATATAGAAAATGGGTGCATTTCAAACGAGGATGCAATGATCAAAACCCTCAATGTTACTTTAGTAAGAGAAATAGTGGCAGACTCATAGCTTGACCCATTGCTAATCAAGATGGACCAAAAAAAAAAACGTATCTGAAAAAGACCAGTTAGATGGTCCATTAAGTCTTCTTGTCTGTGAAGTCCCTATCTCTCCTTCCTTTTGCTTTGGAGCATCCTGTGCTCTGGGGATGTGCTCTACTGACTCACCTGAGAATTTGAAGGCTTCGTAAAACCGAGAAAACAGCAAAGGCCACTTGAAACGTGCAAAATCCACTACCTCTTCCTTGACTTTTTTTGGGTCTGCCCTCTTCTGAGTATAAATTCCCTACAAAGCAAACCACAACCAACATGAAACACAAACTTAGTTATAGTCAGGAAGAGAGCAAACAAAACCGATTCATGTCACCTGAAGATCTTGGAACTAATATTAAACAAGGTCTCAATGTGGCTAAGGAACAAACGAAGTCCTACAGGAACAAGTAATAGTTCGAACAAAGTCCTGGCCTTTGGTTCCCACTTCAGGGAATAATTTAACTTTGAGAAGGCTCGGAAAACGTCTAGAGTGACCAGTCTGGGTGAGATTCATCTCAGCTAACTTTAGGTTTCCCTAAGGTAGGTGCCTACTTTTCAGCTTGTCCGTCCTTCAGCTGGAAACAGACACTCAATAGCACTTAAGCACAAACATCTAGCTCTATTTAGGACACCCTCAGATACCTGACCCTTCTGGATGTAGCTGACAGGCTGACGGAGGACCTGCAAGATCCAACTGAATTGCATCCATGGTTCTCCATTGACAGTAATGTGAGGTGAGACTCCTAACACACATGGAGATGCTTACATTTTAGGGGTCTTAATCTGAAGCTGGCTCCTGCTGTTAAATGAATGCCAGTTCTCATGTCTTGATGACCAACCCTCATGACTGGTCATGAGTTATGAGTAATGAGTTATGGAAGGTGTCGCTGTGGGAGGGTGTCACACACATTCTGATGGATGTCAGGGAGGTTTTACACAATTCGTGGCACAATAAGGTCTTGACATTGCCTGGAGACATGAACTGGCACTGTATTACAACCAATAACACCACAATCCTGTGTAACAGGAATGAGACCCCAGCTTCTCACAGTGAATCTGTCTTCTTCTTGTCTTTAGGCTCGACATTAGGAAAAATTTTTTTCACTGAAAGGCCTGTCAGTAGTTGGAATAGGTTGCCCAGGGAGGTGGTGGAGTCACCGTCCCTTAATGTGTTTAAAGATCATTTAGATGTGGTGCTTGGAGATATGGTTTAGGGGTGTCCTTGGTAGAGTAGGGTTGACGATTGGACCCGATGATCTCAAAGGTCTTTTCCAACCTGAATGATTCTACGATTCTGTCAGATCTTGCCTCAAAATGAGTGGTAAAGCTGAATAAGGCTAGTACAAAACCTGCCCTTTCCCTTTGATTTACCTTCGGGCCAGGCTAAGAGCTGAGCTATGATGCCTGACATATGTTTAAAAGGCACACAAAGCTACTGAAGGTGCCTTGGTGCTTGCCAGGTGATCTATTGTCCCCACCTTTTTGTGTGCAGCTATAATGAGCTGAGCCCATTTTTCCACTGTTTTTGAAGTTGTGATCTCTCTGTCTGGGATGTAGGATGGAATTAGATTTAGCAGCCTTTCCAGCACCATCTCTGACCCATAGTCCACGTAGTACTGCTGGGAAGCCAGTTCTGCCAGATCTTCTTCCTGTGGGAGCCAAACAAGCCAAGTTAATGCTGTTACCAGGCCATCACCTCAACATCCATCCTCATCACTCAAGGAGCTCTTCGTGGAGACTAGATGTACTGCTGCTTCAGAACGGTGTGGGGATGCTTACTTTCAGCAGAACTTCACCAATGCTTTTTGCACATCCAAAGTTCGGGAGATTGACCACTAAAAGCTATGATTAAGCCTTAACATGTTCAGTGATCAGCACCATGCAACCCTGTATGGTGTGCGAACAT